TTTCGGTCGATAACGAGATAATTCCGATAGATAAACAATATAAGAGCCACAGACAAACTGTACAAACACAATGTTCACTTTTTGTTTGTATTTAGCCTTCAAAGAAATTTGAAATCACTGTCAAATAAACATAAAACTCTCAACTTTGTCAATATTAATAGTTTTAACATTAAACAACATAACCCAACAACCCAAACAGACGTTTGCTGCATGGGTTTCTCTCTAGATACAGCTGGGTGTGTTGTTTCAGGGACAGGCTGGCTCAAACTTTATTGTGCTTCATCTTCTGACTCTCGGCATATTCCATCGAGTGGAACAAGTTGAATGTGTTCCCGCCACTAGTTGGAACGACACATTTTGCAGCACACTGAAACCTGCAGTTTATCGGATCTTAGATAGCTGAACCACTTCCACACCAACAAATTAGTCTTTCATCTCTTATCAATTATGTCATCTGCTTTCTCTTCGCTTGTGAAAGCTTGTTCAGTCACATTCTGCTGGTCAAGGGCACTCACTGTCAAGGTAAAACTTACCGCGCGTTGGAGCTTAGCTAAGCCTAGCCTGCTACCGCTAGTCACATAATTGAATTCAGACACTAGCAGAAATGATTCAACCTCTCAGCGACTCCATTTTATTTTGTACAAAAAGTACAGACTTTAATCTACACATCGGTTTTTAATTTGTGTTGATAGGTCAAGTAAAACCAGAGTTATGATAAATAATCCATGCCACATATTTTTCTGAAAATCATTGTCATACCTGAAGTGTGTAAGAGCAAGAGGCTGCAGAAAAGAGACTGCGTCAGGGACAAAACACACCCATCTCCCTTTGCTTTCACCTCCCACCCCCGCCGAACAGATAAACAACATCCCCCCCTCTTTTATGATGGAGGCTCAAAGTTATTTATCAAGCGCCAAAAAAATTTACAGAAAGAATAGACATGAAAGTTGATTGTAGTTTGACATGATGAGGACAGCGAGAGCAGGAGTAAGTCATGAGGTTTGAGAGATTTGTGACATTTAGTGTGTTTGGGTATTATAGTTAAGTTGTAGTTTAGTTGTAGTGCATTTGAATCAAAACAATGAGATGATTTTTTTGTACGTGAGGCGGAGCTGCAGACCCAGAAGAGGACAGAACTGTGGAGTCAGAGGAGGATCGTAAAGAAAAAACAGTCAGTCAGAAAGAGAGGACTTTGTTGATGAAGAGGGTGATCATGATTAGATTTTGACGAGAAAGAGCACTTGGAAGTTTTTTTTGTGGAAAAAAAGCATTTAAAACTAGTATTTTAAGCAAATAAATAAGGTGGTTTATTTTCCTCGAGGAACATGAATAGTCATAAAAAGTTAAAGGGTTAAAACAATCTTATTCAAATGTTCACAATATGGTGCTTTTGATGTCAGTTCATGATCTTTTCTGTAGTTACACAAAATGTGATGTTTTTGAGCTGCATGCATGCAGCAGGGACTGTTGCAAGATAAAGAATAAATTGTGAAATAATTAATAGAATCTTGAAAGTGTATGTTCAAGGTTCTTGTCATTCGCATCACATGTGGTACATGAGGTGGAATGAAATTGTGTACCCAAGGTCTCAGTTACGTCCCAAAATAGCAAAAATATAAAGTATAAAAAGAAACGGTATACAAGGATCTAAGATATACGCTAAACAATAATGATGTAAAATAATATGGTGTATTAAACAACAGCCTGAACACGAGTCGGTTTCATGTTATCTCGCTCTACAAAATGGCTGCTGCTGATTATGATGTCATAACTCTTTATGCCTGTGATGCTGGTAAGACATTTTCATCAGTGATCAATGTTTAAACAGTCTGTGTTCAACATTTTTGCAGCACAGACCATCTATGCATTTAGGATGTTGGGAAATGACTCCAGCCTCCTACTCTGAACCATTAGCTTCCTACTCAAGAAGTTACTGAGAAGGCTGAATATTTCTCCTCTTCTTCATAAATTTCTCTGCTGGGCTTTTAATATGGTACAAACATAAAAATGCTAAATGACACACACAAATATGACCAAAAAAAAGTTTTGTTTTACATTAGTTAAAATTGCAAAAAAAAGCCTAAATTATTCTTCAAAACTGCAGTGCCTAATTCATTTGCATTGAGCAAATACGCTAAAAATGGTCATAGAACTGGTGTGGTGAAATAAATTTGTAATATTGTCTGAAGGTCAATAAAAAGTGACCTCATAATAAAATTTCCTGAAGATAATCAATGTTCCCTCACCACTCAAACTGGTAGAAAAGATGCAATAAAATGTGCGCAATAAATACGATGCATCATGCTAGAACATTTGGTATCCTGCAATGTTTTATACAAGGAGTGTTGTAGCATTTGTGTGTGACCGCTTCAAACTGGTTGTCGACTATATTGGAGGTATAGGAGATTCAAAGAAGGAAACGTCTGAACTGCCTGTTGAACTTTCTCATCCCAAATGCACCGACTTAAGTAGTTAAGATGATAAACTACTGCCAAGTGTGCTTATGTCTATCAGATCACATTTACAAACCACACATGTATATTTCTGTTTTAAAATTTGAGACGTTTTCAGACTCCAAATTACGTAACTGGACCGTATATTTTGGCCTTTTTGATACCCAAGTACAAACATTATATGTAGACTAGGCACAAAGATGAATAGGACTTGACATTTCTTGCAGGGAAGGGGGGTGTTCATGATTGCATGGTTTAAGTGTTAAATTGAGCACAACATTTTAATTTGTAAAACTATGCTCTTATTCAGAGCTAAACTAAAAAAGCAGCATAAAATTTAGGTCCAGACAAACTTGTAGCTCATTAGCCACAACATAACGAATTTTGCTTCCCTATCCTGCATAAAGACGGGCGGGACCCCTAAAAGGCCCGCATACTGGCATGGATTACCTGTTCATCCCATGTCTGTGTGGGAGAACAGCAGAGGGGTTGCATCAGCAGGAGATTTTACCATAATAAGCCTATAGTTATTATGTGCCTATTCTAGAATTGCGCCGCTCAAGGTGGCTGCATGTTGGAGCAGCTCTGTCACATTCATTCTGGGTTATTGCTTTTGGAAACTTTTAATTATTCTTTTTCTGGATGTAAATCACTTTTTTCGGATGATTATTTCCTCTGGCATCGGATGCAGTGCAGCTGAAAGGATTTTAACTGAAACCTTTTTACTTTTGGGCATTTGTTATGATGCGTAACCATGACAACAAGGTGTTTTTTTAATAACCAGGAGCAGCTGATTAACGTCTCAAAAACTGAAATACCTCAACTACAGCATCAAATCCCAAATGAGTTGAAAAGGAGACTCCATGGACAAATTCCTGTCAACCTGATGGCGGTGCTCGAGTGCCTGACCGCCGAGATTCTGGAGCTGGTGGGAAACTCGTGACATCAGGAGGACCGGGATCATCCCCCAGCACCTTCAGCTGTCTGTCTGTGGCGACGAGGAGCTCGGCAGACTGCTGGGAGGAGTGACCATTGTTCAGGGAGGAATTCTGCCCAGCATTCGGGCGGCCCTGCTACCCAGGAGGACCGAGAGGCCCGCCTGATCTGACAGCAAGCTGGATCTGGGTGGACGGATCGGTATCTGTGGCCAGATTCTTCGTATTCGCTGCAGGAGATCCTTCCTTCCCACAGCTATCAGCATCTAACAACTCTTGAATAGAACCAGGATGATGAGCTACAACAACACTTAATTTCCCTCTGGGATTAATAAAGTATTTTTAAATTGAATTGAATATGAGCTATAAAGCTCAATTTCACAGCCAGAAAACAGAAGTTTTTTGAGAGCACAAACTATTGCAAAGCAAGATTGAAAAATAATGTAATCAGCAACAAGCTCAAAATAAAAGAGAAAACATTGTTATTAAAGGTCAGTATGTTTATTAATTGATTAATCCCCTAACCATTAGGTTGAAAATTTATGCTTATTAGATTAAATATCGTTTGGAGGATTGTGTGCACATGAGTGTGTGGTAATTTAAATGTTCAAAGGTTCCAGTAAAAGTAAATCTAACCTTTAATTGCTGTGGCCATCATTAGTGGACAAATGGTGGAGTCATGATTTTAGACAGATGTAGAAGGGAAGCTTGAATTTTGTATTTGTTTGTGTACTTGTTCTATTTTACCTACCTGCTGCAGAGGATATTTTGTGATTAAAGTACAGTTTCATGCAGTTATTGGAGCTCAATCAGTGTTACAAAAATAAAGGGTAATTAAAAAAAAGGTACAATTTTCAAATTTCATCTCTGACAAATTTAATAAAAAGTTCAGTGTTCCACCTTTCAATAAATATATAATACAGTATGCAGAATTTTATGTTTAATTTTAGAAATTCCGTTCAAAAAGCTGGAATATGCAGTAATTTTCTTTTTTATGCGGGGGGCGTCACCGCATCGCTGCCATCAACAAACGTTGGCCGGTATGCTAAGCTGAAGCATATTAAACTCAAGTTGAGGCAAATAGTAAAATATAGACAAAAGTTGTTGTGTTCCTCTAACACAACTACTACTAATCTTGTTAATAATGCTTTTTGGCACGTTATTTTGAATCATCAGTCAACACGAAAACGCGCACAGGCCTTTTAGCGTGACTGCAAGCTATTAGCATTAGCATGCTAACGAAGTGCGTGCTCTTTTACTCCTGATTAGCAGAGCCAAGCAGCGTCTGCTTAAGATTAACATAAAAAGAACAAAAATCCAACTGTGACCCTGAGAAATGAAACCAAATGCTCTACGAGTAAACAAAAGCTCGTGTTTTAATGGCTCGCCCTTTAGCTAACGTGAAGCCCCGCGTCCTGATTTTTGAGAGCGAGCCGTTAACGCTTCAAAGTCCACGTGCCCAAACCTCAACGGCCTGCCGACAGGCCACGCTAGCCTCCGTGAGCCCAACAGCGGCCCAGGGAGCAGCGTGGCAGTCATTTTAACAAACTATCCAAATCAAACTTTCGAAGTCCAACCCTGAATGAAAATGGGTAACGTTTCAAAATCTTACCAGGTTTTTTCAGTGGGTAGTTGCTGTTTCTGCTCCGCTCTGTTTTACCCTTTCTCTTCTCGACGACGTCAACTTCCAGACGGCCTCACGTCGACCAGAGAGCGGGAGGAAGTACGTAATGACGTCACGAGCCTGCGCAGGATAAATACAGCACGGATCTTATCAATCAGAAAATCAGTCTTGATGAACTCATACGAACATGGTGGCCTAAATTTTCTTGATTTTTTTCCTCTTTAATCTAAATATTTGATTATTAATAAGATCAAATAAGTATCTTGATGCTCCATCGTTTTAATCCCTGCAAGTTTTTCCTTCAACGATACAAAAAGAACATTGACATGAACTGATCATTCTGCCAACTCGGTGAAGATCAGTCATTTATTCTAGTCATGTCCTTTCTCATGCATTTTCTGGCAAGATATTTGCACATTTATATCCCAAAATATTCTTGATGACTTTTCCCTTACTTATGTAAATGTGTTGCTGCTGCTTTCAGTAACTGTGGCCCCCTGAGCAGTTTAGTTGAATATTCCTGCTTTAGAGAGTGGAATACAGTTAGTTACATTTATGATTCAATGCAACAAAATAAACACATTTAAAAGGTAACAGATCATTGTAATACTTGGTTTATTTACATAATGACTTTAATTACTGGATGTTCGGCCCCTGAGCTGCTGCTTTCAGTAACTGTGGCCCCTGAATATTCCTGCTTTAGAGAGTGGAATACAGTTTATTACATTTCCAAAACCTAAACTGAGTCTGGAAAAATGTAAAAGATGATAACGCCCAGCGGCCGACCCCATGAGCAGCTGAAAACAGCAGCGATAAACAGGAAGTACATGTTCATCTGTATGAAGTAGTTATGATTAATGGTTAAATTAAAGGTTAATGCTTGAAGCTAGTTGCGTTTTGTTTTGTGTGTTTCAAATGTAGATATATGTTGTAACTTCTGGTTGCATAAGTTTAGTCTTTGTTTGTTATGATCAGTTAAAACTCAACTGATTGTGTACAAAGTGTTTATTATGTTGTGTCATGTAAAGCAGAGCGCTACGTCTGTAGCATCTTAGCTAACGCGTCTGTATTGAACGCCGCTAACTTGGCGCTGCTTCTTGTTGTGCCATTAACTCTAAAATAGTTATTGAATCAAGTGTTTACTTATGTAGGTAAACATGTTTATCAACCCATTAAAATACACCAGAATGCAGGAATGTATCTACTTTATTCAAAAATTTCTGGGGCAGGACCCCCAGACCCCCCCACATTATGAATGCTTCTAACACCAGTGGCCACCATGTTGTTCAAGCCAAGAGTCACTGTCAACACTGGGCACTCACACTGGGGGCAAAGTGCCCCTAAAGGTCAAACTCTAGAATCGCCCCTGAGCCCTACAAACACAAAACCTACTGTTTCGTTTGTTTAAACAGAGATATGCAAGAAGCACACCAACCATGCGTAGACGTTCTATACTTTCAATACAGCCAACTTTCCCCCCCAAAAAATCATTACTGAGCCCTTTTTTGTCCTTTTAGTCAGCAGTTCTTCTTTTGGCTGCTCACTTCTGCAAGGATCACCACAGCGAGCGAACGTGAACGAAGATTTGGCATTTGTTTTTACTCCGGATGTGACACCGCTGATCACAGAGCTACCACAGCCCTCATGTGTGGAGTACAGGGTACATCAGTTTGGTCTAACATCAATAAGAAATAATACAAATGCAACAAGTCTGGCCCTAAATGAGTATAATTCATGTTCAGATAAGATCCTGGAAATAAGCGGCTGAAAGAGCTTCCATTGTAGGGTGGCCGAGCTCAGCCGTAGAGACAGGGGAAGGAGCTCCATCATCTGTGGAGCTTGCAGCAGAGCTGCTGCTCTGCATTGAAAGGAGTCAGATGAGGTGGTTTGGGCATCTGATTAGGATACCTCCCTTTGGAGGTTTGACATGTCCTGCTGGGAGAAGACCCAGGAGCAGACTCAGAACTTGCTCCACCACGTGATCCCTCAGGAGGAGATTTGGATTTCTCTCCTGGACCTGTTGCCTTTGCGACCCGACTACAGCCTTACTCAAAATATTTGACTACTTTTATGTTGCAAGTTTGGGTTTTTTTGTTATTGGAGTACAGCTTTATTTAACAGTAGTGAATTGGATATGGTGTAATATGATACGTCAGATATAAAACATGCATGGAACAGTTTGTCTTAGTCCGTGTCCAAAGCTTGAGATGCAATAAATCAAAGTTCTTTCATAATCTGTCTCATCACGTGAAGCAGAACAACCTTCATGTGTTTGGGGGTTAATTATGGAAAGCACAATCACAAACAGGTGCAAACATTTTTCAGTTTAAAAAACAATAATAAGCTGATGATTTTCAAAAAGTACTTAAAAGGAGAAAAGTCAGTGCATTTCAAAATCAGCACGCAAGTTAAACTTATTATCACACAGTTTATGTGAATGTGAGCATGTGTATTAAATCCTTAGAGAACTTTACTGATTGGCTTTTCTGTGTATGTGAATGTAAAGTGCCCTGAATTGGCGCTCTATAAATAAAGTGAATTGAAGTTAAAGAATGTGAGTAAATGTAAATAGATTAATTTCAATTGTGTATGTATGTGTGCATAATTGGATACAGTTCATGTGTTTTTTCTTACATAGCTACAGACAAATACTGTTGTTGACATATAGTAAATATTTGAATGATTAGGCCATGTAGATAAGTTTAATCTTCTTTCTGTTTTTTCAAATATTGGATTATTATTAATGTTGTTTAATTTGTGTGCTATTAACTGAATTATTATGTATAAATTTACTCTCCTTTTAATTTTTCAGGAAAAACATGAAAAACGGAAAATTTACACAAGTTCTTGAGACAAACAAATGTTTCTATTTACTTACAAATACTTTGACACGGCAGCACGATGGTGCAGTTGGTAGAGCAGCCGCCTCTCAGCGAGCAGGTCGTGCTGGTTCAAATCCCGTCCGGAGGCCTTTCTGGAGTTTGCATGTTCATGTACATGTTAACATGTGTTTTTTTTTTTGTCTTTCAGATACACCTGGACCTACCAGTCTGTGTTCGTCTCTCTCCTTCCTGTCCTCTCAAACCAGCCGGTCAAAGCAGATGGCCGCTTGTCCTGAGCCTGGTTCTGCTGGAGGTTTCTTCCTTTTAAAAGGGAGTTTTTCTTTCCACTGTTGTCACTGTGCTTGCTCAGGATGGGAGACTGCGACAAAGCCAAGATTCAACTTGTCTGCTGGATTCCTTAGATAGAGAACTTTATTAATTGGCTTTTCTGTGTATGTTCCTGTAAAGTGCCCTGAGACAACTTTGTTGTGATTTGGTGCTATATAAATAAACTGAATTGAATTCTCTCTGTTCATGCATCTTTCTCCAGTTTTCTCCCACAGACCAAAAACATGCATGTTAGGCTGATTGATGATTCTAAATTGTCTCTAGGTGAGTGAGAGAGTGAATGGTTGTTTGTCTCTATGTGTCCCTGTGATGGACTTGTGACCTGTCCAGGGTGTCCCCCGCCCCTCGCACAGTGATTGCTGGACATGGGCACCAGCGACCTCCGTGACCCAAAATGGAAGAAGCGGGTAAAAGATAATGGATGGATTGCTTTTTTTGAATGTCCAGAGGACCAGATTGAACTTTTTTTTTAATTTTTCTACCTGGATTATTGAGCATGCATCAGGATGTAATGGGTGGATGTTTGTTTAACCAACACTGCCCTCTTGTGAAAAAAGTGAAGAAGAAAAAATGTTGCTTAATATTTCTGACAACGTAAATCAATGATAGATAGATAGATAGATAGATAGATAGATAGATAGATAGATAGATAGAT